ACGCGAAAAGCCGTCGCGCGATGAAAACTAGATTGAGAAATGTGATAAAAGAGAGAAAAGACCTGTTAATAAGTGGCGCTTCAAAAGCGTAATAAAACGTTTGCGGATTATGTAAAAGAGATTTTTACGGTCGCTGATACGTATAGCGGTATGAAATGAACGCAGAGTGAGAGAAATAAAATGATGTGCAATGAATGACGAAGAAATATAAAACTTTGTAGAAGTGTCAAGACAATTTCCGCAGTGACATCAATTAATTATTACAATGCTTCTTAAAGTTTACATTCTGTGTTACATTCAATAAACAACAAAATATCAATAAACAACAAAATTATTGTTAAGAAAATTTGTTATATTATTAAAAAATTATTTAAAAATATATAAAAATATATGATATTGTTAGGAAAAATAGTTAATTTTATGTTAATATATAATAATTAAATTTATGTTATTGGATTGGTGAAAATATTGCTAATCTAACTATTGCTACAAATCTCATATTTATAAAATGTTAGATTAAACAGGCAATATTTTATGTATTTTATTATTTTGACTGTTGAGGGTTTCCCGAGGTAGTCTGAAATCGTAGTATCGATTTAACCCTTTGACTACCTACGATATACCGTCGTGTCATCGCTTCACGACATCGCGATGGATATATGATGAACACGTCGTATGTTATCGATTTTTCTCGCTCGTATGACGCCGCGATATGACGACCTGCGGAACTGGAAGTTGTGGCATTGTAATAGCTGGCGGGATTTTATTGACTGGAATGCCTTCATCATCCGATGATTTATGCGATCATGCGTGTAATCATCGAGATTGTCACAGTAATGCCATCCTTTTTGTTAATTATCTTTACATAATACATGATTTCTTTAATGTATCAAACAATTATCTCGTAATTGAAAATTATGTTAAAGCTATAAATACGCATTGAAAGCTTTATAAAACATTATAAATTTTGATATGCAATAAATATAATTTACGTGAGTAAAACTATAAATTCTTTTCTATAATGTCTTTTAATTTAAATCTGTCAATAACTGTGAAACACAATTTTTCAATACAAGTGTGAATAGTTATTTCCGGTGTACAATGCTTTTACACGCTGAACACAAATCTGTTGGCAAAAGTTGGCTGTCAATTTTTATAAAAAATAATATCGAAGAATAAAAAAATGACGATTTTGAGAGTTTGCAAGACGTTATAGCAGCGGCAATTGAATTTTTTACCTAATTTCATTAATGCCACATGAAAGAACCGAGTTTTAACTTTAAAATGCAATTTTAAATAGAAATGACTATTCACATTTGTGTCGTAAAAAAGAAAATTTCCACAATTCCATTGTTCCACAATGTAATTAAGAGCTGAATAAATTATTCAACGTGAACTTTTTTATCAACTTTAT